CGTAGGCTGCACAGCTTGCTCCTTCTGTTGCAGACATCATCTGTTGATGGCTGACTATGGGAGGCTAGAGGCCTGGTGTCCCACACGTATTATAAAACCCTCCCAACACACTCATGTCCCTCCCAACACACTCATGTCCCTCTCCCCCTCCCCACCCCCTACCGCTGTTGACTAGATCACAGCGTTTTGTTATAATGAATATCCAGCAGTCATATTACCAGCCTGTGTGGATTTTATACACCACATGGTTACTATGATCTATGAGGACCATTTTCTTAGTTGTAAGCCTTTTTGTCTTCACTTTTCTTTCTAGGGTATATATCCTGGCCCCTTTATTTCATTTGTTCAAGTTGTAGGTATCTGTCTTAATTACTCACTGCTGCTGTAACAGAGATCCCGGGAGTGGGTCGCTGTTCATGGCTTGTATGTGTTCTCTGTGTGTGGCGCAGGCCCACTAGTCTCTACAAGCGAAATACCAAGAGCCGCTGCCTTTGTCGCTGTTAGTTTGTGGTTGATCCATCGTGTGTCTGCTGACTGTCGGGGACCTTTGTTGATTCTGTAATTAGCGGACTAAAAGGTAGGACTCTTTTTTTCCCTTAATATCGAGGACATCAGTCTTTGGCTTTTGTTGTCCATGTGACAATGTCCATAGGACGTTGGCTCAGTTCATACATTGCTCCAAATACTTGTTTCTTTTGCGTTGTTTTCTGGCCCATAAACTAAGTTTGCCACCGCCCCTCATAAGGCACATGGTGTGTGTGTGTGTGTGTGTGTGTGTTTATACATTCCACCTTTAGTTTTAGGGAGACCTTTGCTGCTGGAAAGAAAGTAGGACTCGCTACTTGAGAAGGAGGTGGAAAGGCGTCCACCCTAACCTTCCCTTATAAGGAGAGCTGGCAAGATAGGAGGTAGATAGAGCCTCACTAAATGGTTTTCTGAAAACTTGAACTCAAACTTATCAGGTGGATTTCCCCTTTCAAGCCTTCCAGGTTTGGGGGCCAAGGGATGCCTGGATCCGCCAGACGAGGACGACCGAGCCTGTGTTTATAGCGGTGGACGGTCTCCTGGATACCTTCTCTAGTCCTTTGTATTCTTATTCTTAGAAACAAAGTAAACCTCTTGGCCCGAACACCTCCCGTCAGATGCCAGTGGTCAGCATCTGGTTTCCAGTCCCCAGCCTTGGGGAAGCAGTGCCCGATTTCCTTTGGCAGACACAGGCAACCCTTTCTCAGGTCACTTCGGCCATTTGCGCTCAAAGGTCATGACTCAAAATAGAAGCCTCCTAGGTCTGGATCCGGGTGCATCTGTGGACCTGTGTGCCCTGAATTCTAGGTCCGTTTCTCAGAAATTTGAGACACTGCTTAGCTTTTCAGTTTCCAAAATAGGTTTCCCTCAGTGTTTAGATGGCCATGGCCAAGGCAGTGTGATGAGTGTGTACAGCCATGGCGTGGGCTGTGATGACTAGCGGGTCCCGCCCATGCCATCCTCAGCTCCAGTGCTGGATGACTGATCATGAAGCAGCTCTTTCCTTACCTATAAAGTGATTCTAATCAAGCTTCTCCCTCCTAGGCCCCCTTGGTGGTGTAGAGGGTTACACATTATACTGCTAACCCCACAAGGTTAGTGATTCGAGCCCTCCATCTGCTCACAGGAAAAAGGTGGGCTGCCTGCTCCTGCCTCGAGTTGCAGTTCTGCCCTGTCTGGGGGGTTGCCATGGGGCAGAACTGGCTCAGCGGCCTTAGGCAGCATTGCTGGGAGTCTAGAATTCCTGAGGCCACCTATGTCAGAAGCTCTTAGCACAGTTAGGACAGGAGAGTCATTCTTTTCCCTTCAGGCCCAGGGGAGAGGTCCCATGCTGAGAGGTTTGCTATGAGCGGGCTGGATGGAGGATTTGAATTCTGCCCCTCTGGCTCTGTAACTTGTTCCCAACTCCTGGTGCTGTATATATGTTTCTGTCTGTCTGTCTGACTCTGTCAGGAGGACAGTGCTGCAGGAGCTGGTTAATCTCATCTGCTAATGAACCCTGACAAGAATCATCGTTGCCACAAAGATCTGATGAGCACTTCTTCAATGGTGGTTCTACTCCTACCACCTCCTGTACCTTGTTCCCTTTCATCTGCGGGTCCGGCAACCCCACTGTACATAGGAGCATGCTGAGGTTCAGGTTTCTGTCTGTCTGGACACCTGCATCTCGGCCGCTCCCTCCTGGTCTCTGCTGATGAGCACTTCGTCTTTCTCCCCTCACCTCCCCAACCCAATGGGTCCAGCACAGCGCTGCTGGGACCTTTTGTGGGACGAGAAACAGGAGCCTGATTCTCTTAGCTATTTTAGCTTTACTCAGTCTCTGCCTCCTCACATGGCCGAGGCCACAGTGTTGGGCAGGTGGCGTTCCAGTGGGAGACTCGGATTTGACGTTTCCCCAGTCTCTGTTTGTGTTCCATTCTTTCCCATGTGCTCCTTACCTACCAAGGAGCCCTGGAGGGGCAGTGGACCACAAGGTCAGTAGTTCAAACCCCCTCACACCCAGCTGCTCCATGACAGAAAGGTGATGCTTTCTACTCCATAGAGATTTACAACCCTGGAAACCAAATGGCTAGTTGTTCTTTGGGGAGGGTGGGTGGGGGGAGTGTTTTATTTACTTTAAAGACAGTTTTATTGAGACTTCATCCACCTATCCTAACAATTCAGTAGTTCAAGCACCTCAAGCAGAGTGGTGCAGTCTTTACCAACAGCTAGTCCTCTGTCCTGCAGGGTCACTGTGAGGCTGAGTCCACTCAGTGGCTCTGAGTTCTTTGATGGTTTGTTGGGGGTGGTGGGTGGTTTCTGTGAAGCGCAGGAGCCTGGTGGCAGTGTCAGGTAAGCACTGAACTGCTAGCCACAGGGTCCGCAGTTCCAATTGACCGGCCATTCCTTGGAAAGAAGACGAGGCTGTCTGCTCCTGTCAAGCTTGACAGCCTTGGAAACCCTGTGTAGAGTTGCTAGAGTGGGGCTCGAGTTGATGGCCGTGGATTCTGATTTTAGGGGACAAGGGGGCACAAGAAGGAGCCAGGCAGGCTGAGTACAGTTGCCAGCACAGGCTTTGAAGGAGGGTTGGGGGACTGGCGAGTGGGCAGCAGGTGGCCTGAGCAGAGAAGGCACAGTGCTGCCGTGGCCGCCCTGGTTCTGTGGTGCTGTCACTGGAGAATGAGCAGACAGACGAGACAGCTCTGAACGCCTTGTAAACACTGTGTTGCTGGCTCGCCGGCGTGGCGTTTTCCTGGTCTTACAGAACCCATGACTCATGCATTTCTGCGGCCTTTGTTTGCTTATCATTGAGATGATGAGGTGGCAGCATTTGAGAAAGTCTACAGAAAGACCAGTCCTCCCCGTCACCTCCCGGCCCTTAAAAAATGGGGCTTTTACTGCCTTTCTCTTGTCAGACTCTGGCAGACATCCTTCTTACGTTCTTCTGTAGGACGTTCTTGCTCTTACCTGAAGTCTGCCGGGTCGCTCATAGACAGGTTCCCACTTTCCTTTACACCAATTCTTGCTGAGATGTTGATGCCTAGAGAAAGGTCTCACTCTGCTATGGGGCAGGAGAGGGGTCTGGGTGCCTGCCTCTTGCATTGTAGCACTGTGGGTGACAGGTGGGCGGAGCAAACCAGAAATCCCTTTGTGGGTGGCAGCAGGTCATGCACTTAATAAACCTGTCTTTCCAAAGCAAGAAGCAGTAGTGTTTGGGGACCATACTATGAGTCAGGAAATTTTTGAGCTATAAAAAACAAAAGCCAAACTCCCTGCCATCGAGTCCATGCCAACTCACAGGATGCCCCTGTGGGTTTCCAAGACTCTCTGTACAGGAGTAGAAAACCCTGTCTTTCTTCCGAGGAGCAGCTGCTGGTTTCAAACTGCGGCCCTTGTGGATGGAAGCCCAACGCATAGCCACTAGGCAACCCGTGCTCCTTGGTCGTACAAGGTTAACAAAAATGTCTCTGCTTCCGTGTTTTTAATTTGCTGATGATGATCACTGTCGATCTTAAGAAAGGAGGCTGTCTAAAATTGGTGAGACAACTAGCATTTATTGTATGTGGGCAGTATAGTGGGTTAGGCAGTCTGAAACCACCCACTGCACCACAAGAGAAAGATGAGACTTTCTACTCCTGTGAAGAGTTACAGGCAGTATCTATCTCATTTCAACCCGCTGAGGTAGATGCCATCAAAGCTCCCCTCTGAATAGACATTTGTCACTTGCTAATTTGCTCGTGCCCTGAGTTTAGTACATGAGCAGACTGAGTCTAGACCCCACATTCTCCGGGGAGGTGGCTCTGAGCAGGTCTTCTTAGAGCATTTTTTACCGGGCTGCCCTATGGGATTCATAGGATGACGGAGGATAGCAGTTTGAGAAATGCTGGTTTTAAACCTGGAAAGTGAGTGGGGTGTGTTAGGGAAGAGAGGAGATGGTTTTCAGAGCCCCTGTGGGTTCCAAGGACCCTGGAGCCCCTGTCCCCAGAAATTGTTGCTCATATCATATTCAGTTGGTGTCACACTTCCCAGTCAGCAGAGAGACAGGCACAGAGAGAGGTTCAAGTGTAGTATGGACACCATAGGTTCTCAAGCTTTCTCAGCCTGCTACCTCCTTTCCAGAAAAAATTACTCAAACCTTTCCCACTCCCTCCCCAGTAATTTTAAACATTTGCATGACAGCCCACAACCCAGGATAAAGTGTAGGCATCTGCTTTTGCAGCCCCACTGGGTCTCTCCAGCTGTTGATTGGTTTCATCATTGGGTGGTTGAAGCAGCTCTTTATTTCTTTCTTGGCAAAACAAACAAACTCTTTTTAGGCATTTGGGAATACTTTCCCTTGTCAACGAAGGATCATGATTGTTTTAACCCAAAGCTTTAAAGTTTGTTTGTTTTTGTTTTAACAGACCTGAACCTGTCCAATGCCTCCCTGGTCATTCTGGAATTTCCTGACTGCTGCGAGGGTGTGTAACGGGAATGTTTCTGTTGGTTTCTTGCAGTACAACAAACACCTCTTCGTGCACATTGGCCATGCCAACCATTCGTACAGTGACCCATTGCTCGAATCCGTGGACATTCGTCAGATTTACGACAAATTCCCTGAAAAGAAAGGTGGCTTAAAGGAACTGTTTGGAAAGGGCCCTCAAAATGCCTTCTTCCTCGTAAAATTCTGGGTGAGTAAGGCACTGCCCTGATGTTTGTGGTTCTGTCCGAGAGGGCACGGGTGCAACACAGGACACCTGCCCGTCCCCCTCCATGGACATTTGCAGAATCACCGAGCGTCACAGACTCACACTTGTGCACCTGGATTCTGAGTGCTTCAGAGCGTACCTCCAGCTGCTGCCAAAGGGCCAGAGAGAGGGCGGCCACTTTGGGCTTCGGTGCTCGCTCAGGCCGCAGCAAGGGGGTCCACAGTGGGAAGCCATGACCTTCTCCCCTCGGTTCTGTGGCTTCCCACTCCGCTAAGCCAAGGGGCCTGCCCATTCCGCCGGGGCAGAAAAGGAGCTGGGCTGAAGGACAGTTGTACATGTCAGGATGTTGTGTGTGTCACTGAGGATACACATGTCTTTTCTTCAGTAAATACCTTGCTGCTGTTTTTAAGGCAACAAGAGCCCTGGTGGCGTAGGGGCATATCCTTTGGGCTGCTAATTGCAAAGTCATCAGTTCAAAACCCCCCAGCTCCACAGGAGAGAGATGAGACTCTGCTCTCATAAAGATTTAGTCGCGGAAACCAACAGGGGCGGTTTCACTCTGTCCCACAGGGGCTCTGTGAGTCAGAACTGACTCTGGCAGCGAGTTCGGTTCGACTTTTAAAACTCTACGGGCCAGTTCCCCTCGCTGCTGGAACAAAGCTGTCCCCTGGCCTCTGAGGAGAGCTTTGCTGTCCCTGCTGGGACAGGGGGGTTGTTGGTGAGGGCCACTAGAGAAGACACAGAGTGCACACATGCGTGCGTGTGTGTGTGTGTGTGTGTGTGTGTGTGCACACGCACACGTGTGGGGATAAGGTGTGGGAGGAAAATGACCTGCCAGCATTGAGACATGACAATTTCTCAGTCTTCTCCAGAATCAGGAGAGAATGGCTTCAAGCGTCTGTACCGTAGCGTAGCACGGAAAGCCCCAGATGGCTGTGTCTCAGGGTGTTTTCTGCCTCAGGTGCTGCCAGACTCCACCTGCCCACCTGTCCCTCTTCTGCCCCACCTTGATGCTTGTCTGCATGCTTTTTCTTCCTTGTCCCTCCTCCACCACCTGGCCGGCTTCTCCTCTTCCTGTGAGGCAGGTGGCCTCGCCAATAAGGCACCTCCCCACAACTGGCCAGACCGTTGTGTTTTTTTTTTCTTCCCATTTCTGTTTTTGCTTCCATCACCTTTTGTAGCGAATTCTTCCTCTTGCTGTATCACAGTCATTTGGACGTGGGTCTGTGTGCCCCCAGTGGACCTTATGGTAGCAGCTACTGTGTGTTAGGAGCCTGCTCTGTGCCCAGCATTGTTGTAAATGCTCGACAGCCGCCTCTGTGGGCTCAGTGGAGTGTGCCTCCTTCCCAGCTAAGAAAAGAGAGACTTGGAGATTATAAAGTTCTTCTTAATATTTAGAGAGATAAAGGTTATATATAAATCCCACAGGCTACTCATGGAGCCCTGGTAATGTATAGTGGCTACACACTGGGCAGTGATCCCCAAGGCCAGCAGTTCAAAACTACCAGCTTCTCCACGGGAGAAGGATGGGGTTTTCTACTCCTGTTCAGAGTCACAGTCTTGGAAACTCACAGGGGCAGCTCTCCCCTCCCCACCTTGTCGCTGTGAGTCAGTATCAGCTCCATGGCAGTGACAGAGAGGCAGGCTGCTCATAGGTTGTGGGACTAGGCAGCTCTCTCAGACTTTGATGCCCCTGCTTACTTCCCTGGCAGATAAACACCCTGTGGACCCCAGCCTAAGACCCTCCATATCCCTCCTGCCCCACAAGTACCCTACACAGAAAGCTGAACAAATGTGGGAACAGATGGATGAATTAGAGGCCCGTTCATATTACAAATTTGTTGGGGAAACTTTGCATATTTAGTTTATTGGCTGGTTTGTTTTCCTTAAAAATTTTCCATGGTAACTAGGTTTACTTTTCCATGTTTCCTATTCAAATTTGGATCGTGGGAGTAGCCTTCCACTTATATTAATGTTCTTGGGGTCAGTAGTACTGTGGATTGTCTGCAAAAGCAATAGCGCCACTTTCCCTTTCCAAATTGGTGCCTTCCACCTAGTGAGTTGGATTGTAGCTGAGGGATTATGCTTCAGTGTTATACAGTAGGGTACAGCAGTCCTCCGGGTGTGGCCCCAGAACCTCCAGATCAAAACTGCTTCATAAGGATTCTGAGCCGCATTTACCTCCTTTTCTCTGCCAGTATTACACGGACAGGACAGAAGCAGTGGGTGAAGCTGCCGGTGCCTTCCTGTGCGTCAAGGCTGTCGGCTCCTCATTGGTACGCACTCATTCACAGTTAGAAAGAAAAGTCCAGTTATGTAAAGAACGTCCTTTATGCACGTTCTGACTACGAGACGTCGAGTACGTACTAGGAGTGAACTCAGTGAGCCTGTCACTTCGAGGAAACCAGCCGACAGTATTTATTGTCGATGATAAAATTCAAGCTTTGAAGCAGCAGTTAGAATTTTGGAGAGTATGTATTCAAAGACTTTATGACGGGACGCATGGTGATATTAACGAGTGTGATTATTACGGAAGAATGCCATTCAGATTCCATTTCATTGAGGTGTGACCACCACGGAACTCCCACTTGCCGAGTTTTGGTGTAGTCTCAAAGAAAAATGACCACATTTGAAAGTCTATTAAAATCTTCCATTTCCCAGTTACACATCTATCTGAGGCAACTGACTTTCTTTGCATTCTTCAGTATATCTTAGCAAATTGAATGTAGAATTAGGCAAGAGAACCCATTAAGCTAGACATTAAATAATTTAGTGACTATAAACCAGCACCACTCTTCTCATGGTTTCCTTGTGGTTGTAGGTATGTCTGATTAAAAAGGACGTAGTGAACCCATTACTGGTATTTTTAAATAAAGTACCAAATAAATATTTTAAAATCATGTTACTTTAAAATCCTAATACAGAAGAAAATTTAGAAAGATAAAACCCACATAAGCACAGGTTCTTTGGGAGTCTTCAATGTTTAAGTGACTTTGACAGCACAAAGGTAAAGAGCCATTATCAAAAGGATTTAAAAAGACGTTTTTCTATACAAGTTAATGTAGAAATAATAATCAGAAACTACATGTGGTAGTTACATAATCTGTTGTCAATTTGAGACTGGAGAGTGAAGGGGTGGAGTTCAGCCTGTCAATCAGGTCGCAGCTTGATGACCTCATTTGGAGGTGCTAAGGAGATAAATAGCTGGATAGATAAATAGATGGAGGCGGGACACAAGCTGACTCCCTGTGAGACATTATGGACAATGAGCCACATGTAGCTATATGATGGAACCAGAGCTCTGGGAGCAGGAGGAGCCATGTGGAGACCTCTGCCAGCGCTGAGATGCTTACAATGCCACTGGATTCACAAGACTTCCCATCCACTGGCCTGTGATCCTGTATTTGGCATCATTGCATGTGTTTTGTGAGTCTGAAGAGGGCTTTATAGATTGGTATTGGATAGATGGGCTAATATCGGACATACAGACTTGGTCTGGCTAGTCTGGGATGTTTTCTTAATGTACAATTACGCTTTACATAAAACTTTTTCTTATACACTTGACTGAATTTGTTTCTCTAGTCTACCCAGACTAGCACACTACAAATGGTGATAAAAACAATTTTAGTACTTTCAAATTAAATTCAAACAAAACCATTTGTTATTGTGATAATATTTATAATTAGCATATTTAATTTCAGACTGAAGAAGTTAGGAAGTTTTTTCATCACTAGCTTTAGTGGTTGGTACGAAAATTTGAGTCATAATTGTCTTACCTGGATAATGTTGAGAATGGGAATTCCGTGCTACTGCTTGTGCGCAACCTGTACATAGACCAAGAGGCAGTCACGCAAACAGAATGAGGAATACTGTGTGGTTTAAAACCAGAAAAGGTGTGTCGGGGTGTTGCCTGTCATCATATTTCATTGTTGTGCTGATCAAATAATCAGAGACGCTGGACTATATGAAGAAGAACGCACCGTCAGGGTGGAAGGAAGGCTTGTTAACATCCTGTTGTAAGCAGATGACACAATCTTGCTTGTTGAAAGCCAGGACGAGGACTTAAAGCACTTGATAGTGAAAATCAAAAACTACCTGCAGTCTTTGGTATGGATTGCAACTCACCATAAAGAGAGCAGCAATGTTCACTGCTGGACCAATAGACAACATCATAAAAAAGCAGAAAAGACTGAAGTGTTGGTTAAGGAATTCTTTTTACTGGGATCCACAGCCACTGGTCATGGAAGCCAGACTCAAGAAACCAAGTGATGTACTGCACTGCACTGATCTGCACAAAGGTGTTTAAGAGCAAAAATGTCACTTTTGTTTTCAATCTGTCTCATATGCATGTGAAAGTTAGATAATGACCTAGGAAGAACAGAGAAGATTTGAAGCATCTGAATTATGGTATTGCTGAAGAACATTGACAGTACCTTGGATCGCCAGAAGAACAAGGAGCTGTTGATAGCAGCACACCCAGAGTGTTCCTTAGCAGTGAGGATCGGATCATAAGACTTCATCTCCCAGATCCTGAGAAAGGACTCATGCTTGCTAAAGTAGAACATCCCGGACAAGGTGGATTGACACCATGCCCGTGAGAGTGGGCTCCAACATACCAATAGTGAGCATGGCACAGGACCTGCAAGTGTTTCTTCATTGAACCTAGTGTCACCATGAGTAGGAATGGACATGGGGCACCTAAGGACCACCAATGGATTATTTGACTATAAAGTGGTACACAACATGCTGAGAAAGTTGTGTCTTTCCCTCCAAATTGCCTCTGTTTTACTCATGGATAATGTTAATCAACAATTTCAGTAGTTGGACCCTCTAGTTATAAATCCCCAAACAGAGAAATCTTGATTATAGATATTTAAAGTACAGTGCCCACTGCATATTTACCACTCCAAGATCAGATAACAGTTCATTAAATTAAGATTATACAAAATTAAAATGGAGCAGGTTACTCCCTTGGGGGCAGG